TAAACGAATATCTAACTTAGAAAAAAACCTAAAGGCTATGCAAATGAAAGTGGATGATCTAGAAAACCGGAGCCGTCGGTCCAACCTTGTCATTTATGGTGCTGAAGAACAACAAAATGAATCGCCAGACATGCTTGTCGAGTTGGTCGAAAAGAAGATTTTAGATGGTGTGCTACAGATAAAAACCAAGGGAATCGAAATAATCCACCGTCTAGGAAAAAAGAAGCCAGTTGGTATATCTAGACCCAGACCCATTATTCTAAGACTACTCGATCATCGAGACAAAGTTTCAATCCTCAGACAGTGTTCAAAGCTGAAGGGCTCAAGTTTCTCTATCAGTGAAGATTTTTCTCGTAATACTCGGGACATTAGAAAGAAACTGTGGGATCGAACGAAAGAACACCGGGACAGGCAGGAAAGGGTGTCACTGGTGCGCGATAAAGTGCGAATCAACGGTCAACTTTTTGCTTGGGATAGTGAACGAGAAGATATAATTGCAGTGAAAAAAAAACGAAGTTGGCATAGAAAAAAGAGTCACTCGAAGTCGACAGAAGTAACCCTGTTGAATGTGAACGCACGTAGTCTTGTAAATAAAGTAGATCAATTCGAAGCTCTCCTTCTAGAAATTAAACCTGACATAGTTGCTGTCACGGAAACATGGCTGTACTCGGACATCCTAGACCATGAGGTCACGCCGCCAGGTTATGTGATTGTGCGCAAAGATAGAGAGACTAGAGGAGGGGGCGTGGCACTTTTTTCAAGAAGGAATTGCGCTACTCTGTCTTACCGGGCAACCCTAGCATTGAAGCGGTGTGGTGCAAAGTGCAGCTGCAAAAGGGCTGTGTATTTGTTGGAGTTATTTACCGACCACCTAATGCTGAGACAAGTTATCTGGAACTTCTTCTGGATTATATGCACGATCACGTGACGGGTGGTATGATCATCATGGCTGGAGATCTCAATCTGCCTGAAATAGAATGGTCATCAAAAAAGTGCGAAGTGCTGCAAATGACGTCATATTAGATATGTTGTTCAATTTTAACCTCGAACAACTGGTGCGCGTCCCCACACGTGTACAGGGCGTATCCAGCTCTATTCTAGATGTTGTGCTCGTTAGTGACCATTTTCCAGAAGACCAGGCGCGCATCGAAATCTTAGACGGAATATCTGATCACAACTCAGTCCTATGCACACTGCCTCTATCTGGTCTTTCTAGAATCCATAGCCCCGGTAGACACGTTCTTGCCTTTAACAGAGCAGACGACGCAGCAATAATAACATATCTTAATCACGAATTTCTTGCCTTCTATGATCTTTGCATGGACAAAAATTTATCATGGATCACATATGGTTACAATTCAAGGCACGTGTCATTCATTGCATTGAGAACTTTGTCCCCACACAGCGAAAAATTACAAGAAAGCATAATGCCTGGATCACACGTGACATAATTCATATAAAACGTAAAATCAGTAGGCTGAGGAAAGCTAGGAGGTCTAGCTCACGAGCTGGCTACACCGCTCAGATCGCCACTTTATCAAGAACACTGAAAAGCAAAGTACGCTCTTCAAAAATTCACTATTTTGGTACCACGCTAGCAAAATTCATCAAAACCTCGCCAGGAAAATTTTGGCGCTATGTAAGTGGCAAACACAGTGGCCAAAACGCCTCCCCCTCGATAGACACAAAAGATAAGGCAGACAATTTCAACCGCTACTTTCAGTCCGTCTTTACGATCGATAATGGGCTAGTGCATCATCCCGAGATTAGGCCACCCACTGACAAGAAGTTATCTAAAACTCCGGAAATAACTGAAAGCGGTATACTGAATCTGCTTTTAAACCTCGATGATAAAAAGAGTTGTGGTCCAGATGAGATACCGAACGCTTTTCTCAAACGGTATGCGGAACCGGTTAGTAAGTACCTGCGCTTACTATTTACAAAATCTATTCAAGATTCGCAGATTCCCTCTGAATGGAAACTTGCAAAAATAATCCCAGTGCATAAATCTGGGGACAAATCGACTCCATCAAACTACAGGCCCATTTCTTTAACTTGCACTAGCTGTAAGCTACTCGAGCACATTATCCTTAAATTCATTACAAAGTTTGTCGAAGAAAATAACCTATTACACCCCAACCAACACGGTTTTCGAGTGGCCTATCGACCGTAACGCAACTAGCTGAAACAATTCACGATCTGGCCGAAGCCATTAATCAACACTCCCAAATTGATATAATCTTTATGGATTTTTCAAAAGCGTTCGACCGGGTTTCCCATGAAAAGCTAGTTTTCCAGCTGGTTTGCAAACTCGGGGATGGGCCAGTGACCCGTTGGATATCCAACTATTTGTCCGGTCGCCAACAATTTGTACACTGCAGTGATCACGTCTCTGACACATTAAACGTTACGTCCGGTGTTCCTCAGGGATCCGTCTTGGCACCGATATTATTTCTTCTATTCATAAACGATCTAACAGTCAACATTAACGCAAACATTAGGCTTTTTGCAGACGACTGCATATTGTACAAACAGGTTAAAAGCTCCAGAGACCAAACTGAACTGAACGATGCCCTGAACGACGTTGTACGATGGTGTTCTAACTGGCAAATGGTGATTAATTCTGACAAAACAGTCGCCATGCAAGTAACAAAAAAGAAATCACGCCTACCTTTCCATTACGGTTACAACAACATCGTGCTACGAAATGTAAGCCAGTATAAATATCTTGGTGTGACTATAACTTCCGATCTCAGTTGGACAGTGCACCTAGAAAACATAGCCGAGAAAGCCTTAAAAAAATTATTCTTCCTTAAGCGGACGCTGCGCCACGCTGACCGCGACACTAAGCTTCTAGCATACGTCACACTTGTCAGACCAATCTTGGAGTATGCGAGCATAATCTGGTTTCCATTCACGGATAGTGGTATCAGCACGCTTGAAAGAGTCCAGCGCAAAGCGATTAGATTATTTTTAACCGGTATCGTCGCCTCGACTCCCCAACACAATTACTACGCCACGCAGATTTGCCGACACTCGAAAGTCGAGCAAAAATTCATCGCCTAAAGTTCTTATACCTGTTATTGCACAACTGTCTTAAAATAGACCACGCTAAATACGTGAAAACCAAGACAACAAGGCAAACACGTCACACACATGATCACACACTCCAAGAGTACTCTTGCAACAATAACACATTCTATTATTCTTTTTTTCCTAGATGCATTCGAGAATGGAATGCTCTTGACCGACTTATAGCCGAACAGCGTACAGTTGATGACTTTCTAGCAATGTTGCAAAATACACATAGCACTTAATCAAAACGCTGATTACATAGTATGTATTGTATTTTCATTTCCTTGTGTACTTCCTTGAATTGACTTGCTTGCCAACATTTGTATTTGCACCAACTTTTACAGCTATGATTTATTATCCTTCTTTTCTTTTCAACGGGTGTAAAATATGTATAATGCGCCCACTACCACTTTAACTCGTTCATGCAGCCTCCTTAATTTGAACTTGTTGAGAAAGGCTACTCGGTCCAAAATTGATTGTTACTATTGATGTGAATGTTTCTGTTTTTCTTTGTTCCCCTTCGCTCCCACTCCTGTAATAACCCTGCAAAGGGTTAACAGTATGTGAAATAAAAAAAAATAACACAGCCGTAGGATCACCGGGCTGGTACGCATTTGTTTGTAACAACCTCAGAGTTGCGGCCTATTTTTTTATCCAATTTGTTCTGTGGTGGTGGGTATTTGCGTCTGTTTAGTCTGTAATGTTGTGTAATGTCGTTGAATGTGGTCAGGTGATCCCCACACGAACATTCCTCGCAATTTTTTTTCACATCGTTTCTAGAAAGCATTATTGTGATTTTGTTCAGTGTACAGTAAGCAATCATAGCCGCGTGGCCTGATGATCGAGGCTCTCCCTTTGAGAGCGGTGGGCCTCGGGTACAAACCCCAACCACGTAAACAAAATATATTAAATGCGAAACATTGTTTTGCCAGCCCAATACACTTTGACTGTTTCTGTTCATCTATCTAATTATTTATTTGACTACAGGGGCAATGCTAAAAAGACAGTGGAGCTTGGGGGCACATACGAAGGCCTGGCTTTTGCTGTTTAGCTAACTTTTGCTTATTTTCTCATCATTTCATTATTGATTTCTTTTTTGCTTCTTTCTTATTTTCTCTATATTTCTCGGTCTGCTTCTTTCAACTCGTTTATTTATATCTCCATATTTGTTTGTTTGTTTTAATTTTCTTTCATCCTATTTCTTTTTTCTCTTTTTCTTGCTCCGGCTATAATTCTCTTGCTTCCTCCTTTTCGCTGCCCTTTTCTTTTTCTTTCTTTCATTTTATTTTTTCATTCTTCTCGTTTTATTTCACTCTCTCTCCCTCTCTTTCTACATTTCTTTCTTACAACATCTCTCTGACTCATTGTTCTCTACATTAAGCGTTACTACATACCTTGGTCATATTCTCTCCTTTCCCTCCTTCTTTTCCTCCATCTCACCTACGCATCTTTCATCCTCACGCTCGTTTTCCTAACCCAGTCCCTTGCTACACTCACTTTACAAGGCTGTGCTGTAGTCTGCGAGTCTTCCTCTACAGCCAAGTGGTCGCCTTCGAATTGCGAGTACGTGGTTTTTAATGTCATCTTATGAAGAGCTTATGAAGAGCTCAAGGGTTACAACAGGCCACCCTGAAAATATAGACGCACGTGTTCTGATAGCGAAGACGAGTTTGAAGAGTTTGAAGGAGATGTAAAGAGTGCGTGTGCGTCATGACGGTGATCTCTTTTTGTTTTTTGACAGGCAAATCATATCGAGCTTGGACAGCGTTGCTGTTTGAGCTTGACGTTAGTATGCGTGTTCAGTTCGAATAACTGCACTGAAAGATGCACTCCTTGTTATTATCTTGGTCTGCAGCCAAAGCTGCTTTATTGAGCAACAACCGAGACATTGACAGTGCTTCACCCTTGTTTGGGCGTTTCGGTGCTCAAAGACGCTGTCGCTGTTGCACCTGGCCTCCCAAATTTCCGAAGCTACCGGAACCACCGTAACTGCCGAAACCGCTTGAGCCTCCAACTGGTCCAAAGCCAAATCTCTGTCCGCTGGAGCTACTAACTCCAAAGGTGGAGCCCCCACGGAGGCCACTGCCACCGAGTCCACCGAGTCCACCGCCAAGTCCACCACCGAGTCCACCACTGAAGCCACTGCCACCGAGTCCACCGCTGAGTCCACCGCCGAGTCCACCACTGAAGCCACTGCCGCCGAGTCCACCACCGAGGCTACTGCTGCCAAGTCCACTACCCAGGTTACCCTGCAGCCCACCTCCGAGGCCACCTCCGAAGCCACTTCCGAGACTACTGCCGACGTTAAAGAGACTGCCGCTGGATCTCGGGCTGCCACTGCCAAAGCCGCCGTAGCCTGAGCCGTAGCCACCACCAAGTCCTCCACTGCGAGAGCCAATGCTACTGCCACTGTCACCGTACAAGCCACTTCCAAGACCACCATAGCCAGCCCCATAGTTGCCGCTACCGAGGCCAAAACCACCAGCGCCGCTTCCGGAGCCAAGACTGCCAAAACTGCTGCGACTACCTGCAAATGAGTTTACACAATACTCAGTCCCGTTCTTTTTTTGTTATATTTTTGGATACATCCACTGTGTTCTTGTTACTTAAGAACACATTTGTCATATGCGACATTTTCTCGTATTGCATTTTGCGGGAGAATCTTTTATCATTTGATATAATGACCGATGGCTTTTTACAAGCCAAAACCACAATTTGACTATGAAAAACGCTCTAGGGGATGACACTGAACATTTCGACCACCTGGGGTTCATTACAAGAAGTTACACGGGCTTCTAACATACTTACATGAAGTTACCAGGGCTTATAACATACTACCTCCAAACTGTGGCCTCCACGGACGGAATTCCACCCGGGATCTTCAACATTCTATGAGCGAAAACTTGCTCATGTTAACCGCAACAAGAGACAGCGTCTTAGACTAATGTAAATGTCAAAAATGATTAGAAGTAGAATGCACGAGCAGTTGGGGTTGTTTTGTGACAATGAAAAACATTTTGTACGCCATACGCACATGCTAGGATTAGCTTGGTTGTGTATATTTTAGAATATAACCTGAGCGTGTGCGGTTACGCTTCACTACCCTCGCACCAGCCCTAAGCTTTTAGGATAACATTTGTTCGTGGATGTTTCTCTAGATATATTTTTCCTACAGCCTCTTATCGATTACATAAATGAAGTTTAAATATTTAGGCAAAGGACTGTTAAAATTATTTCTATAAGCCAGCGTATATGCACATAAATAGGCCTCGCAGACATCTGAGACTATAGTATGTTAATGCACTTGCCTTTAAAAGATTGAAGCACATATCAAGTTACGCTTTTTTATTGTCTTAGTATACCCTATCAATTCAATAAACACTACACAAAATTGTGCAACTGTTTTTACGCTTGATGAATGCTACAAAAGGGTTAAGTCTAGTGACCGTGCAAAGAAACATATAAATGTGCGTGAAACTTTGTTCGCGAAAAGGATGCGCAAGTATTCAATATTCAAAAAGAGCTCAGTTGCCAAATATACAATTTCGCAACTTTGCACCAAACACGGTTATAGGATGGTCGCATGCACCGTCCCTTAGAGCAACCCAGGTGTACAAATTCACCATAATCAATAGCTGCTTAAATAGAATATTACAAAGGTGGTACTTTTTTACTGAATATATTAGTTTAAGCACTGCTTGTCAAATAACTAGATTTTCAATTAGCGATCCACGCACCAATATAGCTGAAATTCTCTGTAAAATTTTTAAGCTTTCCTTGCACTGACTAAAAATAGATTCTGACGACTCCGTTAACCTTCTGAATATAAAAAAACACCAACTTTGATTCAATCATTGCAGGCCAAAAGAACCGTTGATCTAATGTTTTCTTTTTTAAAGTAGAAAATCTAAGCCAGCGAACAGCGTAAACCTATACAAGGTTAACAGAACCCACGCCAAAAAAATTGCTTTGGCAGTAATCTCTATGCATGATAATATTCCTGATAAATTGTTCCTGATACAGACCCAAGTGATATTTTTTTACCAACTGTTCCAGTAACATTTCCATATCGAGTTTCCTGTCCAGTACCGAAAGTTACGATAAGCGTGATTATTAGCCATGGTGTGTTTTTTAAAAACAAAAATTAATGAAAATTGGAAGAAATTTAAAAACATTACCTTTGATGCAGATTCAGTTTATCTTCGCAGTGCAAAACTATCGCAAATTTATTTATAAACCAAACAATTTTTGTAATTGAGTTTACTGTTCTAGGAGCCTGATGTGAAATACATTCTTCTATAAGCACTGTGCCTGAGAATATCCCGCAAATGTTAGCTGGATTATGTGGTTGGTGCGCAATAATGTCCAACTGCTGCCGAATATGATGAATCGAAGATTGTGAGATAAGTGTGGTATAATCATTCATTTTGGTGAAGATAGGGCTATGATCACTTTTAAATAAGGAATTGTAACCAGCTGTGGAATAAATGTAGTCTATTTTGTGTAAATATTCTGATTATGTGGACAAGCACAATTATTTTCACGTCAACAATACATTACGATTAACTGAATCACTTTGGGATGTTTCTGATACGGTGTGGAAAAGCCAAAGTTATCACGCCTAGTTCTTCACACATTTAAAAATTTTCAAAACTTATCTAAATGAAAGAAAATTATGAGCGGCCTAAACACTTGCCTTTTTCCTCAGGCGAAACAGCCTTTTTATCATTAAGAAAATACATTTATAGATAATTCAGTGAACTATGTCGCAAAAGTTTGCTAAAATACGACATGTTTCAGTTCATCTATCATTTGTTTCGTCCCTGCACAAGATGAAAACTGAACTTACCTAAGCCAAAGCCTCCCCCCGATCCCCGCAGCACGTTCTGCTGGTAGGAAGCCACGCAGGCCACAGACATTGCGAAAACGCACGCGGCGAAGAGACGAGCCATGGTTGTGGCGTTGACCTGCATTAGGCTTGTGAAAAAGCTGGGGGGCACTCACGCTGTTTAAGTACAAAATCCTTGGAGAATATCACCTGCCCACCACGAGCTCAAGGCGTAGTTAGGCGAAAAACATGCTTGACGACAAAAAATAGCTTTTGTACAAATTTCTCTTTAGGATATTTTGGGCGGATGAAAACAACCGAGCATTGTTTTAAAGCTTGCTCGCATTGTGCTTAAGCAAACGTTCTAGCCTTCTTTGTACTGACAGCAATGACAGGGCTTTTTGAGCGTTTCGTCCAGATTGAGTGATTATCATGAAAATGCTAAAAACATCGAAAATTGTTCTTTTCTCCTTCGATACCGACATTCGTCTCAGCGCATTGTTATTAAAGCAGCCACGTGTTGTGGTGCAGCTTCAAATACACTGTTGCCAAGAGTTTCATTCGTTTCCGTATTGTCCTCGAAAAGTGTTTTCCAATCTTGATCTATCGTGGGAAACATCATATCAAAGACATAATTTGTATTTTTTCGGCGTTTTGTACGTTTGTGAGCCCAGCTTGCTTTCGCTAGTTGTATCGACTGGTGGCTGAGAAGGCCGGATACAATCTGCGTTTGGTGAACTGCACCCCGAGAGTAATAATTAGTTCTTCTTTTAGTTTACATGAGCTCTCCTGCGTATTATCACTTTCCTTGGGCCACATCCAGTTTCGGCGAGTCAATGAACGTGCTGCTTTCCACGACCGAAGTCAAGAGAATATTTCCGGCTTTGCTTTCAGTGGATATGTCGGAAAACTGCCACTAACTATATTTCCAGTCTGAAATTTATTGCTGACTACGTAGAAACCAAGCATGAGTGATTCCAGAGTCGAAATCTTTGTAAAAAAGGTCTCAAAAAAGTTCATTGCTGGAAATACGCAGAGCATTATATCATGGCATAATTTTTGTCGCCGTGAAATATCAAGTGTCTTGGAAAATTTGTGTATTTCGGCCACTTAAGACTGTATCGTGAAAGGCTTTTACCTAAGGCGTAACCACCCAAGATGTGATCGACTTCTTTGGGGATCTTCGTAATTATGTCTATATACGAAAAAAGTGGAAGCATTGCTTTAATGGCATCATCAGTCGATAATCAACTTTCATGGAAGTGCCATTTCTATTGCGAATAACTAAGAACAAAAAGAAAGAAAGAAAGAAAAGAGAAAGAAAGAAACGAAGAAAGAAAGAAACAAAGAAAGAAAGAAAGAAACAAAAAAAGAAACAAAGAAAGAAAGAAAGAAAGAAAGAAAGAAAGAAAGAAAGAAAGAAAGAAAGAAAGAAAGAAAGAAAGAAAGAAAGAAAGAAAGAAAGAAAGAAAGAAAGAAAGAAAGAAAGAAAGAAAGAAAGAAAGGAAGACGGTGGCGTCTAGAACGACTACAAATTTACAACAATGGGCTCCCTCACCGTAATTATTGCTTTACGGTGATGGGGCACGTCGATGTAGCTGCATCGCTATCATCACGGGCCCCGTCGCTGTTACAGTTTCACTACGGGGACGGGCCCCCTCACTTCAACGATAGTACTGCGTTGACGGGCCCCGTCGCTGTTACGGTTTTACTATGGTGACGGGCCCCCTCACTTTAACGACAGTACTGCATTGACGGGCCCTGTCGCTCTAGCCACGATTACACTACGCTGACGGGTCCGCTCACTCTAACAATAGTACTGAGTTGACGGGCCCCGTCCCCATAGTCAATGCCTAACTGTTTTCCGTGCAAGCTGTAGTGCTAACCTTTATCAAATGAAGGTGCTGTGATCCTTCCCCCCTGAACATTTTTGAGTTCGAATGTGTTTATAAACACGCCAACAACTGCACACGCGATGGTCGCGCGTGCTTAGCGGGCGTGTAGGAACTTTTGTGTGTATTTATATATTACTGAATCGCTTCATCAAATTTTGTTATCACCTGTTACACTGTAAGTATTTCTCAGCGAAAATCCACGCCTGCAGTGTTCGATAAGATTCAGGACTCTAAAACAGCCTCGCCGCGGTACTCTACCGCGGCTAAGGTACTCGACTGCTGACACGCAGGTCGCGGAATCGAATCCCGACTGCGGTGGCTGCATTTTCGATGGAGACGAAAACGCTGTAGGCCTGTGTGCTCATATTTGAGTGCACAATAAGGAACCCCAGGTGGTCGAAATTTCCGGAGTCCTCCACTACGGCGTCTCTCATACTTATAGAGTGGTTTGGGACGTTAAACCCCACATATCAATCAGCAATGAACTAGATCATTTTGTTAAGATTTAGCGCAATACGCGAACATTAGAGATTGATCTCGAACCTACGTGATCACCAGCGATAAAACTGGAATATTCGGCAGCTAATGTACAAATGCCGACGCACTTCATCACTTGTGAATTGATCGACGGCCGGTGCCCTGTTCGTCACTATCAATGCCCGCGTGTATCGATGTACTCTGACTTTCCGTTCACCGGCCGCAGGTCCGGCCAAATAAACGGTTTTATCTTCGACCTACAGTCTGCTCGTTTCGTCGACGTCCCGACCCCATGTCGATATCATGTCCATGCAATCGTAGCGTCCCTAATGTGCGTCCATATATCTGCTTTAAATATCGACAACTGCCAACACAAACAAGTGAGTGTTCGGAAGCATACTGCCTTATTCGTTAGAAGCTTCGTAACTTAGATTCACCTTATCTTAAGATACACTGACCCAGGCATACCTCCATTCTGTAATCAAGGGCGCATCGTGCGTATTCAGCTCTTGACGTGACAACAAAACTCAGTAGGATAAATGCAATCGGCAGAACGATTCGCAGCGTAGTTACCTCGATAACTGTTAAGAACTTGCTTGTAGCAGCGTAGCGAAAAAGTTCTAGCACTTTCCGCACTACACATGAGCACTACACATGAGCACTACACATGAGCACTACACATGAGCACACATGAGTTCTAGCACTACACATGAGTTCTAGCACTACACATGAGTTCTAGCACTACACATGAGCACTTGCTTTCTTCAACCTCGGCTCGCTAGACAGGTTTTTTTTTTTTTGCCTTGAAGTAAATCTGATGTGGTTTGCCAAGCAGGCTTGATGTTCAAGCGAACAGCCCCATGATTTCCACTGTTTGGCAAGTAAAATAATTTATGCCGATTAGAATAAGGTGGTCTGTGGTCAGCTACCCTTCACCTTCGATGAAGCAACGCGACGCGACACCACAATCAAGAAACTTCAGCACAGCGCCAAGCGAAAGTGCCACGTTGCCGCCATTTAGCGCAGCCATCTTTGTTTTTCAACCAGTGTTGCAAGCACTAGGAGTGTTTTCTGTGGAGTTGCGAATAGGAAGGCGAAGAATTTCAGTGACACATGTCTGTGGGAAAAGCACTGTTCAATCCAAAAGTGAACATTCTTAGCGTGACCGCTGTCTGTGTAGCGCCTGTACTACCAGCGTGGCCACGCATCGAAACGTTTACCACACGAGAACCTAGTGGACATAGTATATTGACTCAATGCTACGGGATATACTTTACGTCGTCTGCTGCACAACATGCTGCCTATTGATAGCTAATAACGCTGAAGTACTTCGCTCGCTCGGATGATGTAGCACAAGAGCGGCGCGCTCGTGTGCGCCTGAGCCACTTGGATTCGATTAATGACCTCACCAAGTGCACTTGAGAGTACAACTTGGGGGCGTTCATTATCAATACGCCTAAATCAGATATGTTCGTGGGAGTTATCAATAGCAAGAATGACAAAATGAAATAAAATTGCGGTCACTCAAGGCCACATAGCTTCATACGCGGACGTTTGGTACTCGTAGCAGGGAAGTCAAGTTACGCACAGTAAGATAGATCGCCCACGCAGATTATTTTATGTTCGCGTGAGTGTATACTTTTGTGTGCTGTTTTGTTAAACTTCTTTATTCACACAAATCATTGTTGTTTTTGTTTCTTCGAGGCACGCAGCTTCCGCAACCATACAGCTAACTTCGGAAAAAAAATTGCCTCAGTTGCACCCAATTGGAAATCTGCAGAAACAGCGAAGCTGTGGTTCTTTCGTATGTCCCTTGTGGTTTTCTGTTTTTTTCTGTGGTGGGTGATTAAGGGTGGGTGTCTGCGATTACGTCATTTGTGAAGCATATATCTGTGGGTAAGACCGTGTGACAGCCTCTGCCACACTCGACTCTACTGCAGTGACTCAAGACTCGGCGGTAGTCGAGTCCAGAGAAGGAATCCCAACATCAGAACACAACGACTGTTTATTCGCACATAAGCAGCAGCGGGCAAGCGTAACGACGCTGCGCTGGTCTGGCTAGTAAAGGAATAATCTAGCCATCTTGACAGTCGGTTTTTGTAGCCACCCCGGGTGATGTATGTCTCTGGTGATGCTGCGGTGGTGGTGTGGTTATGGAAGGATGAAGTAGCGCTTAGCCATGTTACGCCGTGCTTAAAGATATGATGCGGAGCCTCTGCGCAAGTATGCTCAAAGTATGCCGCTTGTCACACCCCACTCACGCTCGAGCCAACCATTCTACGTTTCAGTGCGTAGCCATGGGTGTGTTCCAGTACCAACCAAAGAAGGCTAAATGGACAGCCGAGTGGACGGCAGTCATAATAAGTCTCATTCCAGTTCTGAAGTAGCCGGCAAAATAGACAAGTCTGGAAGGTTGGCATGGTAGACAAAAAAGGTGCAGGCTAAATTGCTGTTCAAACAAGAGGTCGGCTCAGCGAATCACTCAGACAGATCGAATCTCGTCGGAATGGTCGTCTGCAACAAACAGACGCTTCTCCAGATGCTCAATGTGAGTAACGTTCATTTTTTTTAGATTTTAGCTAGAAAAAAGCCGGGAAAATAACAGTCACGTTTGTTGGTGCCTCATCACGTAGAAGCCATCCAGAAGTGTTCCGTTTCTCGGAAAGCATGGGTTCGGTGCTCTACTTTATGCTGTCAGCGTAGACAGTCTACGATGCTGTCTAAGAATGGGAACACAGCCCATGCACCACTTCGTCAGCGCGTGAGACAGTTGCAACATCTGCGGCTTTCTCTTGGAACTGGAGCTTCACATGAGAAGCAGACACTGATTTGTCTCTAACGCCAGCCCTAGAAAGTTCCACTGCTAAAGAAATGCGGTGACCAAATGCAGCAGTTTTGCTTGGAGACAGTTTTAATTGAGTCGCAAAGAAAATGGTCTCAATGTCGACATATTTTCTCTTCCACAGAAAAAGCTACCTGACATATTTACGTGATTCGCTGCCATAAGTTAATTTGGTTTCTTTCTTTTCCCTGTGTTTTAGTCAGCTTTTTTTTCACTTCAACTGGGTAGAATGTGGACGCATTAAGGTTGTTCGTCAATTGTTACCATGGTTGTTCTCTTTTTTACTTAGTTCACATAATTCATATGTTGTGTGTCCTTCTGCTTGTCCGCTGTGAAGCTGACCTGTAGATGACGTGGTCGGGCTTCACTAAAGCTGCAAAATGCAGAATTTTGCCTGGTTCTCATCGCGACCTTAAAGCTTTATCGGCAAAATCTGTCGCTGTGATTATTCGTTCGTTTGCTGCGAGGAAAAATTGAGATAGTGCTCAAACTTGCAGCGTGTAGGGTCTGCGCTTGAAAAATAATCATCAATGTATTATAACATGGTATCCACTTCACAAACCAGAGGTAAAACTATTTTCAGCAAAGTTCACTTCACCTGTTTTTCTTTGTTTTTTAAAAGAGGCATGTAGCCATCCAGCATGCGCATGTGTCCCCATGCAACGTATAAAAAATTATTTCTCTCCTTTGGTTGAGTTCTTCCAAAGATCCCCATGTGGTCGTCTCAGAACGGTGTTCGTCATCAACACGTGATGCAATGCTGACACAGACGCTATCAATTCGAAGCACCTTAAAAGCTATCTACGTTCACGTTAGCCCACATTCAAACGACGGACGAATTCGGCAACAGTTTTCGCATGCATTCGGAAATTCCCCTAAACTGCCGTGCAGGTTACAAACATTCTGGCTTGTTTTATCAGGCTTTTCTACCCCGATGACCCTTGTGAGGTGCTGCTTCTTTTCACCATGAAATCTTCGTGGTAGCTTATCCTATGCCAAACTGAAATGTTTCGAAACCTAAATGCCCGAGCACTTTCTCTATTACGTGCAATGCGTTAGGAGTCTACGGTAAGATCAGCGTCAGCTGGTGGAGAGGGCTGTCGATATGGCGGAAACTATGGTTTCCAGAAAGGGGCAGACCACCCCCAAGACAACAGTTAAGAAATAACGAAATAAAGATGTTTGTTCTGTCTCTCTCTAAGGTAATTAATGAAGCATTCCTAAGCTTCGCAGGAAAACGTGTCACGCCTTACATACCTGAGGTGGCTATTATTTGGACCGGACTGGAAGATGACACCTATGACTCCTGAATTGAGTTTTCTTTTTAAAGTGCGAAATGGCAGAAAGTAATTTTTTGCGGGGTGAGGGGGAGGAGGAGACGTGCTTTGTTCACGCTAAGCAGGTTTGCTTGGGTCTTCAAGGGTGGGTATGTCATGTAGCATTATTTTTTTTCTTTCGTGGGTACTCGTCCGCAGCAAATTAACCCTGATAGTTATGAATATTTATAATAATAATAATATTATAATAATAATAATAATAATAATAATAATAATAATAATAATAATATTAATAAGGAGTTCTAAATCCCACACTCAAGGTAATATTTGAGACGCCATAGCGGACACCTCCAGAAATTTTGACCACCTGGAGTTATTTAACGTTCAGAGACATCACACATCACAGCCATGTATATATATATATATATATATATATATATATATATATATGGAAAGAATTGTATACGTAAGGGCTCGTTTTTCCGTGTTTTGGCACAATATTAATGAGATCTAACAGACAGTAATGCCAAGGAATGTACAGGGGAAGTTATTAGAACCAATGGAATGTAAATAAGAAGAAATAAAAGTGGGTGAGAAAATAACCAGCCATGAGTTGGAACCTGCTCACGGCTGGTTATTTTTCACCCACTTTTCTTTCATATATATATATATATATATATATATATATATATATATATATATATATATATATATATATATATATATATAGTGATCCGTTATAATGGTCTGTACAACACAAAAGTGAAACGTGTCTTTACAGAAGTAGTTGATTGTTTTTTGTGCATTTATATATCATAGCTTGCACCATGAGTATTCGCATACGACGTCTATAGCATCGTTCAACGAGGACGCACCAGGTGGCGCGTCTTCGTTTCCTGGGCTAACGCTCATTCTTATACTTATAGCATCGTAATCGCTGAAGTATCAATAAAGTTTTAAATGCCGTAATAAACTAGCGCGCCACGGCTGAGCAGCGTCTCAGACTATTTTCAAATAGGGGGACGAATGAAATGATATGGGTTCTTTTAGCATGTCCCCCTGAGAAAAAAACAAAAGCATTCCTGACGTAAGCAGCGAAACCCACCTTGAGAGTAGCGCGATCACAAAGCGGGTGAGGTGACGAACAATAGTTCTCGCCGGGTGCCAGTCGGGGTACTGTGCGCACCCCCGCAAATGCTGACCCTGCAACGTCACAAGGGGAGTCCCGGTCTACGTAAAACCACCGAAAATGTCGATTGCACTTGGATAGTCTGAAGAGCACGCACCCTTACTTTAAAACCAAATTAAAATGTTTTCTAGGCTACGCTTGCGACTAGTAATTAGTCGGAGTTGGTCCCGCAAGCAGGACTATCAAACAACACAAGCATTTCAAGTTTCCAAATTTGGTGTCAGGGTTCCTTCAGTACCACAGTGAAACCAGTTGCAATAACATGTCAACGTACAGTTTGCTTGCAGCAGTTCACTCTGGGTATATGCGCTAACTGTCAATATATGCGCTAACGCATCATCTCATATATATCAACCCCTTGCTGTGTATCACAAGTGGTTATCCAGCCAGGTCTCCACTGAGAAGTCTGTCAGGAAGATCTTCCCTTTTTTCTGAAGATGCATCTCAGGCCATGATCCGAGTAATTTTATTAATGTGAGAGGCCATCTGTAAAACTTGCTAATTTCTTCCTTAATAAGCTTTATCTTTCATTAGCGTACCTTACGCACACCGAAAGAATATAGCGAGCCTTTTTCTTCTGCATGACACAATGGCATGCCGTGGAGATGGATCGATGTATATTATGCAGGAAGCTGTCTGTGTATGCTACTTTCAGTCGAAGTCTGTCGATTAAGGTCTCTAAGTGTCATGGAAAATCTGTCGCTATTAAAAATTTTTGTGTGGATCAACTTCATAAAGTACTGATTCTTTTGACTTAGGGCAATCAAAACACTTTTCCACAGAACAATGGTTTGCGCCTTGCGTTATAGAATGTCGAATATACACCCCATACACAGTAATTGCGCAATCCCATCCTTCGTTCAATGCTTTCTTAGTGAGGCTGTCCGCCTCTTCATTACCTTTTATTCCAATGTGACCGAGTATCCATTGGAATACGATGTTGAGATTCTGTACTAAAGTATATTCCACAGTTTCTGCAATACATTGTGTTCTTTCGCCATTTTTGTGAAGTGATCTCGCACATTTGATTAGCTGGAAGGCTGGTTTGCCATCTGTGCATACCACCCGCCTTTCTGTTCTAGAATTCTCACACACAAACTTAATTGCTTCACAAATAGCCACCAATTCTGCTGCCACTGATGAAGACTTGTGTAATAATTGTTACAATGTGATGTCATAAATTTCGGGCATGAAGACCGCACAGGCTGATGCTTCTTCAGTGCGTGACCTACCTGTATATATATTCGTTTTTTTCATAGTGCATTATATGAAAATGATCAAGCACCATCTCTGCTGCCACTAAAGACGCCACTAGAGGCGCCAGTATATTGATATTTACTGTGAATCGAATGGAAAAAAACGCATTTAGCGTAACCATGAAAGTTTTTTATTAAATAACTGCGATCATCCTTCAAAACAGCTCATCTCATTCAGTGCGTTGTTTACCATCTGGACTTCACTCCCCACAGGTTTTCTTGACATCCAAATCCTCCAAGCAGGCTTCCGAAGCCACTGCCATAGCTGCCGTAACCACCGTAGCCGAGGCCGCCAAAGCCTCTGCTGCCATAGAGGCCACTACCAAATCCAAGACCACCAAGGAGGCCGCTGCCATAGCCTCCGTAGCCTCCAAGTCCATAGCTTCCGTAGCCTCTGTATCCTCCAAGGCCACTGCCGTAGCTGCCGTAGCTTCCGAGACCACTTCCATAGCTTCCGTAACCTCCGTAGTTTCCAAGACTGCTACCATAGCTTCCGTAGCCTCTGAGACCACTACCATAGCCTCCATAGCGAAGACCACCGCTTAAGTAGCCAAAACTGCCAAGACCACCAAGCCCAGTGCTGCCATAGCCTAGGCTGCCAAGGTTTCCGTATCTACCACTGCCAAAACTTAGACTACCGAGGCCACTGCTTCCATAGCCGAGACTGCCAAGACCACGACCGTAGCTGCCGTAGCTACCACTTCCATAGCCGCTGCTACCGAAGCCAAGACCACTGAGCCCACTGCTGCCGTAGCCCAGGCTGCCATAACTGCCATAACTGCCACTTCCGAGGCCAAGACCACTGAGGCCGCTGCTTCCATAGATGAGACTGCCAAGTCCACGGCCATAGCGGCCATAGCTACCAATTCCATAGCCACTGCTACCGAAGCCTAGAACGCTGAGCCCACTGCTGCCATAGCCGAGACTGCCAAGGCTGCCAAGGCTGCCATAGCTGCCGTAGCTACCACTGCCGAAGCCGAGACCACTGAGGCCACTGCTGCCGTAGCTGCCGCTTCCAAATCCAAGACTGCCAAGTCCACTGCCGTAGCTACCGAGTCCACTGCCGAAGCCTCCATAGCCGCCGCTGCCGTACCCTCCGTAGCCGCTGCTGCCGTAACTGCCGAGACCCGCGCCGTAACCACCATAGCTTCCACTTCCATAGCTGCTACCACCTGAAAGTAAGTAATTGTTTATTAAGCATAACCTCATGTCACATCACGAGGCGATACGCAAATACAGTTTTCTGAGAAAGATAGTGCACTGCGTAACATCTTTTTATCGTAAAATTTTCCTTTCACCTGGGCGCGCGCCAGTAACTATGCACCAAAGAAAATGCATTCAAACAAGCTGGCTCAAAATGCTGTTGACAAAGATCGATGTTGACAGCCGTTATAAGAGTTATTTGTAGATACCATTATTTAAAATTTATTTCAGTTACAGGGGAAATGCCGAACGACAGTAGCAATAACAAACGAATTCAAAAACAAGGTGAACTAAGACACTGCTTAACCTGACCAGCATGCTATTTGGCGCTGCTTTATTGGTGTTATCATTATCGCAGTCGTACTTGCTTTAGTGGGGTTCAGCAGTATTCGCACGTAGAAACAGCTTGGAAAGAAGACTTTACTGAAACCAATGCTTTTCTGAACACAACGCTTCAAAACATTCTACCATCTTCAATACAATCCTATGTACGTACGATTTGCTTCTTTTACAAATTCCTCTCAAAAAGAGTGTCTGTGGTAGTGTGACTATCAGTGCAGAAATCTAGTAACTCATAGCATTTACCAGCTAAAACGCGTCAACTGTGACTCATGCCACCGGGATTGTCTTTCGTGCGTTAATCTAAACACGCGACGCCATAGAAAAACGTGTCATCGTGAGCTATATGCACAGTGAGTGTTCGTATACTCACTGAAGCAAAATTATTGCAATTTACTTATGTGTGTTTGATTTCTCCATGTGCGAGACGAACGAAATCCGTAGCGTATTCACAGGCAGGTACCTTTTGACCAATATTCATTCGATGAAGAAATCTTTCTAGCATGTCCACAAGTTTATATCAAAAAAGTTTAAAGAAAGTTGGCACCATCGAATTACACTCCGTCAGTAACACTTACTGAATGACCAAGACAACATCAGCAGATCCTCTGTCAGACACTCCCATAAAAGCGTTAGTTCACCACTGGTGCTACGTGTGCGCTTTCACTGTGCTTTTATTAATCGGGCTGAATTAGCTTTGCAAGCTATAAGCAAGTGGCGCGCACCCAGAAAAATGAATCGGTTTGATAGAGACTCATTGATAACCAGCACATATACGGCGCAGCGTATGTAAAACGTTTGCTCCCAACGACGGCTTTGGTGGAGTGATATAATACTTGACTGCCGCTACACAGTTGACTACAAGTTTATTCATGCTTCCGGCACAACAATTTAACTTATCCAAGAAAGTACATGGCTCTTCCAAATGGTGATTGGTCTTCAGGCGTCTGCAGTTGTATGTAATGAAACCTAAAAATTCTGTGTTATAGCATTAACCCCGTTTGGCCTCATCGGTGCCCCCCCCCCAAAAAAGAGCATTCAAATTCTCCTCATTTTTCATCCATTTACTTTGAATCAATGTGTGCTCAGATAAAACAACATTTTCCGTCTTTTCAATTTATGTGTTTGAAACTTCCAATTTAATTGTTTGAAGGTGTGAGCTGCTAACCATTCTGGTTAACTGAGGTTTGGAGTTCACAAATTTAAAGCTGGCTCTACCGCCATTGTACTTCTCGACTAAGAAAAATATTTCTTCGAGTAATGTTTCTCCTGTGAGCACACTTCCAGCAGGCAGACTATAGCTTCGTGTTATAATTATCTGCGAGACCTCTCCACTTTCACCAGAACGCAGCTCTCCGAGGCACTTCGACGTGTGATCGCTTGGCTATGTGAAAATCATATCCCCGACATATGATTTAAAGATCAGACTCACCGAAGGAGCTGCCACCATCGTACAGGCCATTGCTAATCTTGAACTGGTAAGACGTGGCACAGGCCACGGAGACGGCCAGCACGCAGACTACCAAGAGTCGAGCCATGTTTCTGGACTTGTTGCGAGATGATCGTGAACCCACAGCAGACGCTGCGGCCTTTTATACTCAAATTTTCCGCCACCTCTTGCTCCCTTTGCTAAAAGGAATTTTCACGAAACAAATGTATACTACGAAAAAAAAATACTTTGTCACTAAACTTTCTTGAATACATGTCGACATTCTCATTGTTTGTCTTCAAAAACTTTCTTTTGTCATTTCTTCATTAGTGGTGTGCACAATGTGTCAAGTGCTTTGAACAGTTCTTCATAAGTTTCCATAACGGTGAGTGACCTAGCTTTCACCTTACTGAAAGGACAGAAAAAAATATGGAACGTGCCTGCCCTTGAAGGATAATTGATCGATGAGTGTAAGAACGTTGTCAAGGCTTTGTTTTCTTCCTACCTCGTGTAGCAACTTGTAGCCTTCCTAGTCATCTACAACAACGTCTCTTTAGTAATTCTAATGAGAATGTGGTGCGCTTACCAAACAGGACATAATATACCAAACAGGACGTGTTGCAATGCTGACACAGACACTATCAATTCGAAGCACCTTAAAAGCTATCTACGTTTACGTTAGCCCACATTCAAACGACGGACGAATTCGGTGGCAGTTTTCACATGCATTCGGAAATTCCCCTAAAGTGCCGTGCAGGTTACAAGCATTCTGGCTTGTTTTATCAGGCTTTTCTACCCCGATGACACTTGTGAGGCGCAGCTTCTTTTCACCATGAAATCTTCTTGGTAGCTTATCCTATGCCAAACGGAAATGTTTCGAAACCTAAATGCTCGAGCACTTTCTCTATTACATGCGATGCGTTAGGAGTCTACGGTAAGATCAGCGTCAGCTGGTGGAGAGGGCTGTCGACACGGCGGAAACTTTGGTTTCCAGGAAGGGGCAGACCACCCCGAAGACAACATTTAAGGAATAACGAAATAAAGATGTTTGTTCTGTCTCTCTCTATGGTAATTATTATAGCCTTCCTAAACTTCGTAGCGAAACGTGTCACGCCTTACATACCTGCACAGTAAAAAATTTTACACCTAAAAGGGTGTAAAAAGGGTGCTTTTACGAAAAAGCACCCTTTGCTACACCCTTTAAACTCCATAAATGGTCGATTGAAAAAAAGCACCCATTTGTTTGGGTGCTTGCCTCGATAGCACCCTAAAATAGGCTCTAAGGGTGCTTTTGTGCCTGAGAAGGGTGTAGGTGACGATTCATCAGATGGAATATGCAGCATAAGAAGAACATCTGATTATAATATTTGGGATTTTACGTCTCAAAAACCTCGATATGATTATGAGGGTCGTCGTAGTGGAAAGCTCAAGAGATTTTGACCATTTGGTGTTCTTTAATGGGCGCTGATATCGCACAGTGCACAGGCTTCTACCTTTTCGCCTCCATCTGAATTCGACTGCCACGGCCGGCATCGAACCTGCGACCTTCGGATTGGCAGCCGAGCAGCGTAGCTACTGCACGAATATGTGGACCTTGTGTTAAATGACGGCCTAGATTTAGAATGTGTGAAGGTGCTCTCCGAATACAGCAGAATGCCAGCAGAAGCAAATCGCGTTTCATCTATAATGGCAATTAACTGCAATCCACGTTACGAAAGCTCACCTTAGCGTTGGTTATAAGCTACATGTTTGCTGTGGAATATATACAGGAACATAATGTTCGCCCGAGTATGGGTGTGTGTGCGTGAGCCTGCGCATGTGTTCGCGTGTAAGCGCGATTGTGTGTACACCCGTACACGTGTGCGTGCGCGTGTATGTGCGAGTCCGTGCTTGTGTTAAGCGTGCCTGTGCACATGTGTACGCCCATGCATGCGTGCGTTTACGGTCGCGTGTGTGTGTTGCCGTATGTGTGTGCGCCTGTGAATAAGTATGCGTGTGTATGAGCCCGTGCGCCCTCAAATTTCGTGTGTGTGTGCGGGGGGGGGGCACTGCTTCTTAGTGTTTAAGGTCCCACACCTGTTCAGACTGGGAGTCTCTATGGGAGGTGGCTTAAGAAATGGCGGTGGTCAGGGCACTGTACACTGACTATTCAGTACATGGAAAACAGCTGCACATTTTCGTACCTCATCATTGCTAACGAACTTGCTGTGGTAGCTGATTAGGTCCGCTGAGGCGCTTCTACGCTCGAAAACGTGGGTTATGACCAATTCACATGGAAAGCTGTCACTGCACTTATGCACAACCATCGTTTATATTAACAACGTTTAACAAGAACGTGCCCTGCCTTTGCTACAGGTGCTTAGCTAGCTCATTGGGCAACCATATGGAATTATGTGCTGATCATGTGGTCAGCAAAAAGTTTGTTATAACAACCTCGGCACGTTTCGTGGTGCATGACAAGCCTTCTAAACATCCGCTACTGTGGATTAATTTGTTCCAGCTTCGACTACGCATTCAGTGTTTGCGGCACCATACGCGGAATTGCCTGACACAGACAATGCAAAAAGAAATTTCTCTGGAAAAAGGTGTAGCGATGCTCTCCCGCTAATGCCACCGAGGACGAAATAATTATTGTTTCTGGCCATTCCATGGTGCACTTTGTTTTCCGCAAGTCTTGCTTCACTATTTTTCGCTCCGTCAAAATACTCGAAGAACCCGAGGCTGGTAAATAACCCGCGTCGCTGTGCGACTGGCTGGAAGGAGAGTTGCCGTTTACAAGGAGTCATTCCGCGTTGAACGGCCGTCCACCGTATGCGCCATAGCGTTTGCCTTTCGGCGCCGTCTAGGTGGGTTTCCCGCTCCTCCTCCCCCCCCCTTCCCGTTCACCCCGGCCAGCGTTGCTCCCACAACGGCGGTGTAGATAAGCGAATAGTTGCGTCACCTAACACCTGCGTCGACAGCTGCGGCGCTGCCGCCAGTGCCTCCTCCTCCTCTCTCTCAACGTTGCTCTCTCTCTGTCTGATCCGTCTTTCAAATGCGTTGCGTTGGTCTGGGGTCTTGGTCGCTGTGTGTGTTCTAGCGAACAGGCGCATATTCAATGGTGGTCACGCATGACACCGTGTTCGAAGTGATGCTCGGATTAAGGAATATTCATGGAGTGGCGGACACGGACAACGTGGGCCTGTTAACGGTGAGTGTATTGTTTTCGAAGGTAGTAATCATTCAGCGCTAGCTGGGTGCCTGCAGCAGCTCTGCCGAAGTAGGCTGCCAGCCATTTACAACAGCATGCGTTCGCGGGCCTGTTGCAGATGCTCGTTTAAACGTGTGACTTAACGAGTTCACACTGCTATGCGCGATGTTGTGTAAGTGCCTGCATCACTCATACAGTGAGTGATGTGATCACTTAACAAGGGCGGGATTAGTTGCTGATCGCACATTGTCTCTACACTGCACAAAGTGATTGATATTGTTTTAAGTTGTGCTTTGGGCTACATCGTAATAACATTTCTATTAATACTCAAATGTGCAACGTGCTTCTGTAGGTGTAAGCGTAAAAAAAGAAAGAAAAAGAAAAAATTATGTACAGAGGCGCACTGTACGAAATGGCTTTTTTTTGCTTAAAGACGGTGTAGTTGGAGGTGCTGATATGCCGCGATGCTCCGAGCACGTGCGCCTCGGTCTTTTAAGCTATTTAGGACAAGTGTCACCAGCAACAGGGAAAGATCCAGCAGACTTCCAAAGGCGCGTTGTTGTGGCCATCGTCGCGCGTTGATTTCCCTCGTTTCTGTTTGCTGTTTTCGTGCTTTGCCTTCATCTGCGATAACGTTCGGCGTTATAACAGAATCGAGAGAGTATACGTGACTGTGGGAGCTATGTGCGGTAGCTCTAGCATAAGCCATGGCTGCTGCAACGTAGACAGCGTCCGCGCGCGTTGGTGTCATTCGAGCGCTCCTACTTGCTTGATTGTGTTTAACTGAGTATTTAGGCACGGGTTACGTTTGTAAATCCCGTGGTCAATAATCGCTAATAGCGGGCCCCTGATTGCCATCAGAGGATGGGCTTGGTTATCGAAATATGCCAGACGCTTTTTCTGAAAGCAAGCTTTGAAAAACTTTTTTTAAAGAAATACTTTCATACGTGCTAGGCAGTGCCTATTGCAGGCCCGCAACTCTTTAAAAACTGGACGAGCTATCACATCTTTTATAAAATTACAATGAATTAAGATGATTGAATTATAGATGACGAATTTCTGTGCTAGATTAGGTGCACAAAACAAATGTTCGCAGCCCTACGTCTAGAAAGCAGGCAAATAGGAAGCACAGCGTCAAATTTGGATTAGATTCCATTGACAGAGCGTCTTGTGAGGGTAGAAAGAACGAGAAAATTGTTCATTTTTGATGCCCTTATAGAGGCAGTCAGAATTGCACTGATTGGTGACTTGTAACAATTCTTCAGATTGTTAGAGGCGTGATTAAAGTAAGTAAATCTCTTACTTTTTTTGCAGACCTCTTCGCTAGTGCCACGCCCAAGATCATTTGTTCTCATGTAAAAGAGAAAGCAGAGATGTCTTCACTGTTTGTACATGAATAGGTAAGTTTCTTGTGCGTTTTGATTAATGCTACATGTTCTGAACGTTGTACTTTAAGAATTGTTTTTCACACTGGCTGACTACCCTAGAAGGAATTTGATTCTTAAGTGAGTTCAGGCTTTCGTAAGTGCCATTTTTGAGCTGTAGTCTTACACTTCACCTCATTTCGGGAATTCGCTGTATGCTGGAAAACTCTTATCTTTATAATACGAAATTATTCGAATGTATGGGTTCTATGCTTCGAGTTCAGTGTAATGTCAATTACACACCATTTCGAAGGATACACACTTCACATTCTTTATATATGGCGCTGCCAGAACAGCACGAACATCCTTTTATGAGAAGTCATATTTGCTCTTATTGCAGGATGAGAGGGTGCCGCTGACGTCCTGCGTAGTCTACCCCGGACCCAGCCTAGAGAAAGCCTACTTCCTGAACCTCCACATGGATAACCGAAAAATCTTCCGTGTCAGTAATGACGAAGAAAGAGTGACAGCACTGATGAGTAGATTTTTTTTATTTTCAACATTGTCTACGGCCGCAAGGCCTTTAACAAACCACCGTGA